GAGAGCTGCTCTGAGCTGGGCTATTCTAGAGGAGAGTTTCTGGTTGAGGTTGGATGAAGGAGTTTGGCTAGGGCTGTAGTCATCTGGCGGTTTGACCAACACTGAGGGATCTGTGTCCAAGGACAGTCATTTCCATGGCTGGAAAGTGGCTGCTGGCTGTGGGTGGGGAGAGAGAGCTTCTTTTCTACATGGACCTCTCTAGATTGGTGGCAGAGTGTCCTTATGGTATGAAATGGGCTTAAGAGCAAGCCATCCAGGAGAACAGTGGGGAAACTTCAATTCCATTGATAACCAAGGCTTACAGATCACACATTACCACTTTTATGCTTTTTATTATGGTCAACTCAGTAAATCTTGCTCCCACTCCAAAAGGAAAATTAGGTTGTACATCTTGAAGGTGGAGGTGTATTTTTAAACCACATAAACACTATTGCCAATGATAAAATTATTGACAGTAGTTACATTTTCCACAACTTTCTTTTTTTAATAGAGTGCTTCTTACTGAGGATACGGTCAAATTACTATGTTCTGAATTCACATAAAGTTGTCCCCTGTGTGCATGTGCCACCAACTTAACAAACAGTTGACTTGTTTTCTTTTGCTTTTGACTTTTAGGAATTCTTTCTTTTTTTGTTTTATAATTTTATAAAATAACTTAAATGTGTTGAAGTCAAACTAATCAAGCCAGATTCAGAAAATCTAGCTTTATTTCTTTACACTCTGTACCCTTCTCTCCTCTAGGTTAACTTTTAAAAAAAAACTTTTTATGTATACTTCCTTTTAAAAACAACTCCTTAAATAAATACATACTTCTAATTCTAAAATATTTTCATGTTATTCATGCTACTCTTCATATTTCTTTTTTCAGACACGGATATACATGGAATTCATTTCAGTATTTGAAGTCCAGTATTCTCAGATAATGGCCATTTCTATGGCTAATGGTTACCATTATGTAAATGTATGTAGTTTATTCAACCAGTCCTCCATGCAGAGATAATCTGGTGGTTTCTACTCTTTAACTAATGATTTATTTATCCCTATTCTTTTATTTTAGTCTCTTACTATTATAAATAGTATTGCAACAAATAGTTTTATGCATGTGTCTTTCTGAAATTTTTTCCACATAATTTTATGGCTACAATTTACTCCATTTTGTGGATTGCTTAAAAATGAAAAGTATCAATTTGACAGATAAAAGATATTATCTTGTTTGAATTTTTATTTCTCTGATTTCTAGTTCTATTGAGTATTCTTCACTTGCTTATTAATCTTTGTTTTAAAACCTCTTTTTTGAAGTATGAGATACAAAAAGCTATACATATTTAATGTGTACAAGTGGATTCTGAAAAATTCCTAGAGGTATTTTCATCTGTGGATGGTTGTTAAATTGATGTTTCTATTGGATCAGAAGGTGAGAACTGGGACTTCTGCCTTCTTGGTAACTTTGCGTTCTGCTTGTTCATCTTTTTATTTCTTCCATGTGCTCTGTCTGTATCTTTTGTCAATTTTTTTCTATGTGACTTTAAATTCTTTCAAGTGCAAAGAGAAGAGTTCTTTAATAGGAATGGAAATCTTTTGTCACTGTTCCTGTAAAATATCTCTAATTGTTTCTTTTCTTTTCAATTTTATTTGTTAGAAATTATTTTGACAAAGTTTAATGCTTTATATAATTGGGTTTTTTTTCCCTTTGTGATTACTTTAGTAGATTTAAAAAAATCTTTAGAAGTACTTCACCATTTCAAAATTCAATGACAAGTTCATCCACATGTTACTTTAGTATTACTGAGGACATATATCTTTCATACAGAAAATCCAGTCTGATAGATTTCCAAAGTTATTGCACTAGTTGGCTAGGGCTGCTATAACAAAGTGCCACAACCCAGGCAGCTGGAACAACAGAAAATTAGCCTCCCACTTCTGGAGGCTAGAGGTCTAATATCCAAGTGTCAGCTAGACTGGTTCTCCCTGAGGGTTATGAGGGAGATTGTGTTCCATGCTTCTCTTTCTGGTCATATTTGGCATTCCTTACTTATAGATATATCACCCCAATCTGTGCCTCAGGATGTGGAATATCAAGAAATTATTTATTGTTGGTGGAAATGCAAAATGGTGCAACTTCCTTGGAATACAGTTTGGTGGTTTCTTAGAGAACCAAATATACTCTTACCATGCAATCCTGCAATGTGGCTCCCTGGTATATAACCAGAGGTGTTGGTAACATGTCCACACAGAGACCTGCACATGGATGTTTACAGCAGCTTAATTCATAATCACCAAAACTTGGAAGCAACCAGGATGTCCCTCAGTTGGAGAATGGATAAACTGTGGTACATCCAGAAAAAAAGAATATTAATCAACACTGAAAACAAATGAGCTATCAAGCCCTGAAAAGATACAGAGAGACGTGGATGCACATTATTAAGTGAAAAGATCACTCTAAAAGATTATATAACACATAGTCCTAACCATGACATCTGGAAAAGGCAAATCTATGGAGATGGTGAAAAGGCCCATGGCTGTCAGGGATTTGAGGAGAAGGAGCAAAGAATAAAGGGCACAGAAGATTTTTAGAGCAGTGAAACCCTCCTGGGTGATTCTACAATGGTAGATATTTGCCATTATAAGTCTGTGCATACCCATAGTATATCCAGTGTACTGTGCACCCTGATGTAAATTGTGGACTCTGGATTAGGATGATACACCAGTGGAAGTTTACCAATTGCAACCAATGCACTGCATTGCTGGGGAGAGGATGTTGACAGTGCAGGGAGCTATGCATGTGCTGGGGTAAGGGGCACACGGGAACTCACTGTGCCTTCCTCTCAATTTGAGAGAATCTAATATTAATCTGAAAATAATCTTTAATAAAATTTTAAATATACAAGGAGCATTTATTTCTATATCTTAAACAAACACGAGATTATCAATCAAATAATAGACCTTTGTTCTATTTGATGGTTTCCTTACTTTCCTTATAATCATTTTATTTAAAATAGATTTGAAAAGAAACAAAACTAGATGACAGCAAAAAAAAAAAAAAAAAACTTCACCCTCAGGGGACTTATTCTAGAGGGTGACAAAAGCAATAAACAAATGAACAAAAAAAATTAAATGTAAACAAAACAAACAAACAAAATATCCATTGCATAAAGATTATAAAAGAGGAAGTCTGAACCTTTCTGAATTATGAAGTGTGTCTTTAAGGAATCCATGGGAGTCTGTGTTCACTTTTTTTTTTTAAGACAATAAAAACACACCAAAATGGTTTCCTGCTGAATTGCTGAAAGCTTTTTCCAGAAAATGTAAACTTCAGAAAGCAAATTCTAATAGTGTAGACCAACAACCTTTATTTACAACCATGTAATAAATGGGTCCAGGAATTCATATTCTATAAAAACGGCACATTGAAAAAGGTCTAATCAATTTGAACGCTGTCATCTAGTTTTATGCCAGAACAATTATTTTTAAAAGCACAATTTTTCGATTTTATTTGGTGTTGAGCTTGTCCCTTAAAATATGGGTTTGGTTTTAAATTTAGGTTAAAATTAACCTGGGCTCTGTTCCCGTGTCATTAAACATATGCATATTTTTCTTCCTATATTTTATTCTATTTTAGTTTATTGCCTGATTAAGAAACAGCCAGATATTTCAGCATATGCTTTTTTGTGTGTGTGTGGGGATACTAGGGATTAAACTTAGGTGCGCTCAGCCACCGAGCCATGTCCCCAGCCCTTTTTAAAATATTGTATTTAGAGACAGGGTCTTGCTGAGTTGCTTAGTGCCTTGCTGTTGTTGAGGTTGGCTTTAAACTCATGGTTCTCCTACCTCAGCCTCCCAATCAGCATATGCTGTTGATGCTTTGCAACCTGAGCACTGTAGTGGGGCAGAGTGAGAGTCGTTCAGGAAGGAGTAATGAGCTTACACTCAATGGCTGCAATTCACTAATGAGACTGATTGTGCCCCAAGCAGCACTGGATTTGGTCTGACTGCTCCATAGAGAAATAGCCAAGAAGTGTGAAAATATAATACACCTGGCTTTAGTTACAAAGACCTCATACACTATCAGAGCTCATCCCTAGAAATCCTAACTCTCTATGTACTGCTTGGGAGCGCTTCTTTAAGAACTACCTGGTGGCCTGGTCCCACCAGCCCATTTTGGGAGAGCAAGGTGAGTTTGTGTTACAGTGTGAGCACCCAAATGCTCTCTGCCTGCTCCAGCACAGAAACAGTGCTACTAGCATTCCCCAAGCAAGTAAGTGATGTGGTGTGTGTGTTTCTTAATCTCTATTTTAATGTCTCCTACCAGCTAGTGGTTAATTAGCAATTTGCTGCCCACCAATATGCAAATGAATGACAAGCAAAGGGTCTCTGCCTCTGTAATTATTTTGCTGATTTACAAGCCACTTTCTTCTCTGTGTAGGTTTTTCTGTGTGTGCATTCATGCATCAGGGATTTCATTATTTTTAGAAGTGTACTCTGTGCATTTTTATGCTTTAATAAAAAAGATTTCAGTAATTACAGTGTTTTGAAAAAAAATGTCTATATATACACATATTTTCCCCCCTCGGCTCCAAATGAGTTTGTCAGTTTTTTGTTTTTTTGTTTTTTTTTTAAATATATAAAAAGTGGAGAGTTAGATTTATCAAGGGGCTGTAATCCAAATTGCAGAGAGTCAGAGGCGCAAGATTGAAAGATACACATCTCTGCTGCTGCCAAATCCTTATCTGGAATCGGAGTCTTGTAATATTTGATTTTCTCCCAAGCAGCTTTGGTGAGTCGAGCCACGGTCTGCGTTATCCATCTGCCTACTTTGGAGCAGGGTGTTTTACTATTTGGCGGTTTAAACGCTTTACATTATTATTTTTTTGGGGGGGCAGGGCATTAAGAAAGGCTCTCATGTTAAATTAAGTCAATTAATAAATGGAGACACATTAAGCAATCAATTTTGTCAGCCTATCTCCCCAGCATTATGTATGGTTGGCTGTAATCACAAGATAAATGCAATGTGCTGATCTATGGTAATGTTCAATAATACATTCTCCGCCAGGCTCAATTCATCAGGGAGTTTCGGTAGGGGAGGCATTTGTTATTGGCTGTCTCTGCACCTCAAGGATAACATTTCTGTCCTTTTGATTGGCTGCCCCACTGCTGCAAGATTCTAACCGTCTTATTTTGATGATGAATATGAAGGCACGCTAAGCCGGGCTGGAGCGGAGTGTCTCAGAGGCTGCGCTCCTTCCAGAGCCCAAGGACCTACAGCTCCCTCCTCTGCCTTCCTGTGCCAACAACCCCCCAAAAGTTGTGATGCTTTTCTTTACCCAGTGCTTTGGGGCTGTGTTAGATCTCATTCACCTCCGGTTTCAGCACTACAAAGCTAAACGGGTTTTCTCTGCTGCTGGGCAACTTGTCTGCGTTGTCAATCCCACGCACAACCTAAAGGTGAGTCGCTGTCTCGCAGCATTGTGCATGCATTCTGCTCTGGGACTCGTCCCTCCTCTTGGCGACCGGCCGCGGTGAGCCTCCCGCGTGCCCCGAGCCCCTTCCAAATCCCGGTTCGCGGGTGCTGGGACCCTGTGGTCCTGGAGGTGATTGCCTGGGCTCATTCTCGCTCTCTAGCTGGCTGGGTGCTTGTGCTGACGGTGTGCTGTTTCCCTAAAACACTGGAGCGAAGGTCTGGCGTCTTCCCCACGCCGGCAACAGGAGCAGGATGGGGGGGGCAGGTGGATGAAGGTGGTGGAGAGAGTATGTGTGTGGAGCAGGGCGTGGGTGGGAGAGGGGTGTACCCACCACTCTTTCAAATGTTTGTGGGCAAGTGCTCAGAGATAGGATTTGAAAAGTTACCCAGATCGCTGTCTGTCCCATGTGTTGGGAAAGACAGTTAAGTACAGGGATTTTGGAAGCCTCTGCTGGCTAGGGGGCTACAGATCCAGCAAAAAGTACCTGCAGGACTGAGCAGCCCCGAGACAGGGAATTGGTGAGGGGGCTCCTTCTGCAAAGTATTGGCCCTTGTCCTTGGACTTGGTGTGTTCCTGCCAGCTAGATGGGCACCTTTCTCCTGAGTACAGGAGGAGCGGGAGGAGGGCTTTGCTTCAGTTGTGTAATAATGAAACCAGCTTGGAGCCTCTGCTGCCTCAAGCTCTGCTGGCAGCTGGGTGCTGAGCTGCTGGTGGCTGCCTGGCTACTCCTCTGACGTCCTTGCCTCTGCTTTTGTGCCTTCTGTCAAGGCCCTTTAAGAGAGAGTCAAAACACGGGCTCTAGAAGGATCACTACACCTCACAGCCAGGGCTGAGGGGGAAATGAATCAAGAGCCACTGGCCAGGGGTGATGGAGAGGAGGGGCAGAAAATGGGGTGAGGCATGGTGGGAGGACTCAGCTGAACTCCCCACATGAGAAACTCTGAGCCACTTTGGCTCTGTCCTGAAATAAAAGGTGGGACTCTTTCTCTGAGAGTTGCTTTTGGGTGCTCCCCACTGTACTGGAGGATTGAGGGCAGGGGGAGGGGCCAGTCTGTAGCAGGAGTGCTGGACAGATCTGTCCTTCTGACCACTGCTGCTGGGTGGAGTGTTGGATGTTGCCTATCACTTTATGAACTCTCACCTGGCAGCTGTCCTTAGCTGCCACCCTACAAGCCCGTGCTGATCATCCCTCCAAACCCCATTCCTGGAAGTCCCTAGGAAGGACAGCTGCCTGGAGAGCCTGAGGCCACATGCCAAGGCCAGCCCCAAGTGCAGGAGCCATGGACTGCACTGGAACCAGCACACTTGACCCGACCTAGGAACCGACTTCCTGGGACCTTAGCTGTGACTAATACCATCTCACTAACATTTCCTGCTCTCTCTCCCTCTCTCCCTCTGGGTCTGGCTTATGCGTGCTCTCTTTCTCTCCTCTCATTCCTTTCTTCCTTTATAGCTTAGTTTTATAAATGAGAACTCTCTACCAGTCATCCCTGACAAAGCAAGTGGATAGCATGCATATTAAAATATAATTCTGAATTCTATTTTATGGTTGCTTTTGAGACCACATTCGAACTCCCATTATTTTGTCACTTTACATTAGTTAGTTCCCTGTGGCAAGAAATTTTGTTTACTCCTGTTTTGCATTTTAATACCTTTAAAAATTGTTTACGAGACTTAGCATTTCTGAGGTTTGAATTTATATGGTTCATTGACCGTAGCTGATGATGGAGGAGAGAGGGGTGCGGAGGTCTTGGTGTGGGGTGAGGGGAAGCCATCTGTGGATATTTTTGGGTGACATCTGTTTGGATATGGGCACTTATTCCTGCTGCAAAACCCAGGGGTTCAGAGTCAGGACTGGAAACCTTGAGTTAGCTCTGACCAACTGTGTGACCTTGAATGACTGAACCTCTCTGAGACTCCCCTTCACCACCTTCAACAGGAGCATAAGAATAATTGTCCTGGCTCCTCCACAGCATTGTGAGGCTGCCAAGAGATATGAGGGGCAAATGTGCTTTGTAATACTCTCCTCTAAAATAAAAAAAAGTATGTTTTTGCATACAATTTGTACGAACTTCAAAAGTTGTCACTTGGAGCCTTCAGGCAACTTGGAAATCCTATAAGCAGGAACATAAAAATAGGTGACATATGCTTTGAGGGGCTATTTTGCACGGCTCACTTTTTCACATACACTCTCATTTGATTTTTCATTTCCCATTTTAAAAAAATCCATTTAGGGAGTTTGCTTATAAAAGAATCACCACTGGTGTGTGTGTGGGGGGAAGCATGTGGAGTGTAAGAATGCTGTCAGGGTTGGGGCACAGCATAGAGTTCAGAGGGGTCTCCATAAGCACCCCATGCTCATCCAGGGTCTGGGTGGCCCAGCATTTGAGTTTACCTACTCCTCACACCTGAGGCCTAACAGTCATTGGCAGAGTTTCTAAAGGAACAACCCTCTAGAAGTATCACCGCCCCACTGCTTAGATTAAAAAGTGCACAAAGGCTGAAAAAAAGGTTCTCTTTGTAAACGTTAATTTCCATAAATAGACCACAGGAGTATGCCTTCAATGTAATAAGCTGTGATCTACATAAATAAATATCCCTCTTTCTTAAAGGAGAGAGAGAGAGAGAGAGAGAGAGAGAGAGAGAGAGAGAGAACGAACTGTGGCAATATAACCCAGAATAGCTATTGATCTGTGGTGCTTCCCCACACTTTGTATGACAGGCTGGAACATGAAATTGTGACCAAGGACAGAGAGACTGCAACCTTGTTTTCAATGTTGTATGTAGCTACAAAGAAGGCTGGGAAGCCTGCATTTTTCTTTGTGGAAGTACTTTTACACTCTTTATCTTTGTCTGGGTTTTCCTGGGAATTCTCACAACATCCAAGAACCTGAGGCAAATGCTAGATTATAATCCAAATTCACTTACTGAGAAGAGCAACTCGTGTATTTACTGTGCTTTTATAGGTCACCTTCATTCTCAATCTTATTATGGTGATTACTCAGTAACCTGGGATTCCTTCAAGCCTCATGCCTCTTCTTTTAAGTGGAAGGCAAAGGCTTCCTGGGGCTGCAGACACCATGGTGAGAGCCTTTACACCACTAAGCCTTCCCTAATTAAAAGGGTCCTTTGGAGTAAATGGCATTGTGCTAGAGAGACTTCAGCTCTAAGAGAATGCCAGGCAATACAGCAAATAAGATTGTGTCCCTGTGTCTGTCTCTGTCTGTAGGGATGACTTCTTGCAAAGATAAGGGTTTCAAATGAGACCCCCACTTTTCCTTCCCGCTTCATGAGAGACAGCCCCCAAGGGGCCAGCTTTCTTGGCTCGCTGCCCTCTGCTTCCCAGGTCACAGAGTTATTGCAATGCGGCGAGAAAGCTGCAGGCGGCGCTCTTGAGGCTGCCGCGCCTGGGTCTGATTCAGCATTCCTTCCTTCCTCGCGTCCTTTGCTGGTTTCCGACCCAAGAAGCCTTTCTCCCCTGGCTCCTCTCCCGTTGGCACTGGCTGCCCTGCGCAGCACTGCCTTCTGCCCCGCCTGCAGACCGTACCCTTTGAGGGTGGGCGGGATGGCCAGTTCCTGCAGCCAGGTTTCTTCCAGGGAAGGGTCTGCAGCCGCAGCCAGAGCCCTTCTGCGGTCTGTCTTCAGCACTCCGCCAGCGGACAGTGACTGAGAAGAGATGTCTGTGCGACTTCCTCCTTTTAACCACAGGCCTTGAAAGCCAGTTCCTGGAAAAAAAAAAAAAAAAAGCTTTCTGCAAAAATACCCGAAATGCGAAATGCTTTCTGGCAAACTTCCAAAAGGCCCTCTCTGATACCTCCACGCAGTGCCCTCCTCTGCGTCCTGACCTGGGAACATAAGTCTTCCCACCTCCCTGGGAGGGAAGGCTATTCCTGCCTCCAGCCAGCCAGATCCCTGCTGCTCTTGTCTGTGGTAACCCATTAACCTTGGGCTTACAGACAGAAACATGGAATGGGACAATGATGGGTTTAAGTGCCTGGCGGATTTGAGACCTGTAACTGGGGCATTTCAGTACCATTCCTGTAGTATCCCTGTGCCTTTCATTCTAAGACCAGCCTATGGGGGAAATGTATTCTGAGTAGTGGGGCGGGGGAGGGAAGAGGAGGTGATCCTCCAAGGAGAGAAACAGGAGAGATGTGAGATGTATGGCAAAGCCAAACATCACCTCTAACTGTTTATTGGGGTAATCTTTGGAAATCCCTGGCTGCCCTGGGGCTTTGCTAACTGCCTGACACAGCACAGCAGGGAGCAGCGGGGATGTGAGCTGAAGACCCAGCAAAACCTGAGCTTTGTTTTTAGAGATTTAGAAATGGCCTTTGGAGCGTGCAGTGTGAATACCTACTGTAAAGCTGTTAAGGGTTTCTGACAGGATTGTTTAAGAGCTGGGATGTGGGTTACCCAGTTCTTATTTATTCACACAGCCACCTCTGAGGGCTCTGTTCCCAGTCCTCTGACCAATTTCCCCATCTTCTTTCTCTGCCTAGACTGGAGCCACCTCCTGCTCATTAGCACTTGTCAGGGGCTGGGGAGAGGTACTGGCGAAGGAGTAGGTCGAGGCTAGTGGTCTGCATCTCTGAGCTTTATCCTAGAGGCTGTCTGTAGCCTCTTCCAGCCCCTTGGTATTGTATGACACTCGACTCGATGGGCACGGAGCAGTCGAGCAGCTTTTCTGGTTAATGGTGATTGCAAATGAGGCTCCCGAGTCACATAACAGGAGGCCCAGAGCCCTGAGCAGTAATTTGGTTAGCTGTGTGCTAGTGCTTGAGTTGCAGGGAAGGCTGAAGCAGGTGACTTGCAGAGGGGAGCAGATTACTTCTGTACTGCATTTATCCAGCAGCCCCCAAGCAAATTCTGTGCTATCCCTTAACCATGGTCCCTCCATATGTAGAGACTATTTGGGAAAATTAGAAAACTGAGACTGAGCTCTTTCTTTGAAATCCACAGAGAGGTCAGAGTTATTTGAAT